TTACATTATCATTTGAGTAATTGTTTAAAATATAGAAAATTCTAAGTTTCAATTTTTTTTTCTGTTATTTAGAAAATGAAGAGAAAAATACAAATAATAAAACAAATGAAACTAAATTATATAGTAGCTAGTAGCTACATGCTCCACTAGATCGCATCGGTATATATATATAAAAAATAAGCCAGTCTAACTTCGTTGGTCATTTTATTTGTCTTTTCCCTGTTTTTTTTTTAAAGTTAATTACTCACAAGCCACTATAAACCAACTTTACTCCGTATTTGTTAAAAAAAACATATTCAAAGTTCAAATTTATACAAAATATGTAAGAAAAAAAGCATGTTATCATCTAAATATATACGTCTGTGATGGAGAAATTTGTTTTTAGCATGTTAGGGAATTATCTATTATTTGCTTTGCGGTTTTGTCAAAACCAAAAAAAACAAAAAGAGAGAGGGAGATAAGAGTTTGACTTTTCATTAGAGAGAGGTGTGGTGGGTTTAAGGAGAGAAGTGAGGTCAATTCAAAAACAAAATTGGGTTGTAAAGGAAAAATTCTAAATCAATCGGTTGGTGAGAGCATTTATGTCACAGCCCACTCTCGTCTCGTCATATCACTTTCACATACCACACGTGTGGGATGCCACGTGTTACATTCCCACTTCATGCATGCACATTACGGCAATCATTGGGGCGCCGTTACGTCCATCCGCACCCGCACGAGTGCTTCCTCCGTCCCCTTCTTTTATTTATTAATTCGTTTTTTCTTTTCGATTTCTGTTTTCTTATTGCTTTTCTTTACAATTTTTGTTTTATTTTTGTTAGTACTACCCAAAACAAAACAAAATTCAGTAATACATTATCACATCCAGTTAAAAGTAGACATTATCTTATAACGGAACCAATCAAAACACATATAAGACAAAAAAATCGTTATCTTTTACTAGAATTTTGTGTACTATACGTTTGTTAGTGAACAATGTAAACATTATTTTTCTTTAACTAGTGAATAAGAATTTTCGTTGCAACAAAAAATAGTATATCTGTTTTTATATAAAATATGACTCAACACGCAACATGCTGAACATACTTCAAGAATTATAAAATATCTCATAATGTAAAATTAAATTCTAAGTTTCACTCAAAACTGACCTTTTAACCCAGAAAAAAATCGCGTCAAATCACTCAAAATATTAACCATCATAGGCAATCTTTTAACTAACACATGTGATTATAATAATGATAGTTCGTGAAACTATTTTTTTTTTAATCTTAATATAGGTTGGTTGCATACAAATCCCGATTCAGAAATCATACTACATAAAACTGAAATGAATTGACGATAGTATTTATTAGTATTATTTTAGTATTTAATTTGTTTTCTTATTTGTAGAGAAAAAGTCATGTGAAATTGGAAGAAAGCTGGTGGACAAGCAAATGCACGTGAAGTGCAATAATGTGAACACATGGACGTGGCCAAAGTATCCCCCATTATCATTCTCTCTTCTATATTTTTCCTAACAATTTTAATTTTATGCATATTTTCATTAAGTCGAGGAAAATAACATCTTCAGTATTTGGTAATAGTCGAATTCAATTCACGATGACTAAAGCATACATTAAAAATATTATCCAACAGGTACATAAAATATATGAGTATGCAGTTTATACGTACATGGTAGGTAGTAGCAATATAAAACAATTAATTTCATCTCCCTCTAGATATTCCTTGGTTTTCATGAAATTTTATTTTTACAATGGCTCTCTACTAAGTTACAAGTCAAAACGGCATGAAAACGAAGTCAATACAGCATGATCCATGCATACGTATGCATACAGACGTCGATACGTATAGTATTTGCGATACGCCGATACTACATGGAAATAATAAAAACTCGAAACCGCATACATAACTATACAAGCTTTGTGAATTTTGTCATGTTGGTTGAGGTCGTTGGAGATCAATTCAGGCCAAGTTAGGACGGATGTAGAGGTGAGTATTATTTTCGTGGGTTCGGTTTGAGCTAGATTTTTTTTTTGTTGTTTCCCTTTTGGAATAGAAAATGATCCAAGTAGTAACATGTCATCCTTAATAGTATATCGATTTTTTCAAGAACAGTTTACTATCCTTCGTTTGTAGTAAAATGTTAATTTATTCGGCTTAGTTCGTTTTCATTGCATTAAATTGGTTCAAGTAACCCTTGATACAAAAAAAGTTTGGTGCAAGTTTAATCAAAAGAAAAACGTTTGGCTCAAGTTAGCTTACTCTGCTTGGTTTGGTTTCATTGCATTGAATTTGCTTCGATTCAATTTTGGTTCCATTTGTTCTTTCTAGAAGAGAATTAGTCACGATAAGAGTGTAAGCAAATTCGGATTTAGCTTTGGTTAGAGAAACATCGTTCGGGAGTTGGTTTGTTTTATATCTCCGACCATAGCTATTTGCTACAGCATCATTATATTTCTTGGTGATATATTATACGCTTTGATTTAAAATCTCTTTATTAAAAAAAAAAAAAAGACAAGTACGGGTGTGAATATCCATTTTTCGATCAGTCCAATCATGATTATGATTCTTGTGCTAATCCAGCAAATTAAAAAGAAAGAAAATCGTATATATTAACAAGAGTATTGGAGAAAAAAAAACGAAAGATAAGAAAAGAGAAAGAGCAGTGACCCATGGAGTACGTGAATAATTATCAAAGGGAATAAGAGGTGTGACAACCAAAAGGTTGTGGAATAATGGTCCCTGCCAGCTTTCTTTCACAATCAATATCGACCCTATTTGGATTTTCTAAATATTCGTTTACATTTGCGATAACGATACTGAAAAATAGTTAAAATAAAAATATATTTCTTTGTGCAAACTACAATCAAATACAGCATATCTTATACTACAGTATATATATTTTTTGTAACATCTGATTTTGTTAGATAGTAGTATAAGGAAAATACAAATAGTTCTTGACGTGTAAAATTTAAATATCTTTTGAAAAGTCCATATGTGTGAGTATATTTGACTCCCGTGTTATCGTGTTATGTGATGCAGTAAATGAATTTGAGACTGCGTGGTAATAATTATGGAATGGGTGAGTGGGCTACTGCTACTGTAGGGGATTAGTCGGGTATTCAACCGATCAAGTTCTAGTTTTTTTTTTTTTTCTTTTGAGTTTTGAGAAAGACCAAATCCTAGTTTTGAAAAAAAGAGAGTTATGAAACCATATACTCCAATCACTAACAGTTTCATTCTTGTTTTTGGTCAATAAAACAAATAGAGATTTTTTTTGTCGTCTGTTATCTTTTTTTTTCTTAGATTCCATTCAATGATCTAAAATGCATAGATCTTTTGGGTTACAGTTTCGAAGACCTCTACAAGCGTGTAACCATCTGCAACTATTAAATTGCTTTCTTTAATGCATCTTTAACATATTTATTGTTAGTTGGAATTTAATAAGAGGGGACTCGTAACAGTATTTTATCAACAACAAAAAAAGACTTGTAACAATTTTCCATATTTTTACTGAAATACAGTACTACTTTTTATAATTGAACTCGGTTGTATCTTTGTACTTTTTATCCCATGCAAATTTAACTATCGCGGAAACAAGTTTGGTCATTTTCGCAATGCCATAAAGATTTTTGGGAAAAAAGATTTTTACAATCCTTATATTATTATTTTTTCCCGTAGAAATTTATCTACTCCATGTTGCCATAATGACAGCCTCTACAATTGTGATAGTAAATTCTTCCTGCAAATAATAAATCTATGTATTCAATGCTTATTTATAAAAATAAACGGCCGAGTATTAAACTTTTTGTTTAATTTACTACAAATATCCAACCGAATTTAAGAGTATATTATGTAAATCTCATTAAAAGAAAGTCTGATAGGAAAATGGTTAAAAATTCTTCTTCGTTTTTTGGTATGTTTAAAGTAATTTTTAAAAGTTCTTTTTTTTTTTCTTGTGCAAAGTTTGTTTTTTTTGTGAAGGGATTTTAACTAAAATGCAAAATAACCATTACAAAGTATAATTATCTGTAAAGCTTATATTTTAAACTACGAATTGCAAGTGATATGTTATGATATATTCATAAATAAAAGAAATCATTACAGAAAATTGTTGTGTAAACTAGTACTTATTTTCACATAAAAAACTGAGTAAACGAGTGTTTGTGACTATTGAGGGGCAAAAAAAGACAATGCCAAAAGTCTACGGGTTTGACTGTCCAGTTCGGTAATAATCTAATAACTCTGTCTTTGACCGCACGCTCGTGTAGGGGTCCGTCTGACATGTTTCACTGTTCTACCCCTGCTCGTGAGCCCATCCTTCCCGCAATCTCGGGGGTATTTCCGGAATTCTTAGTTAAACCGATGGAGACCGTACTGGAACTCCCTGGGATTCTGCTAGAGCATTTATCAAGATGCTTATAAGAATTAAATTAGCACGAATGGGTTATTAATTAAAAAAGTCTCACACTTGATCAGATAGTTTATTCACTAAACAGTAGTTTATGATCAACTATCACAGAATTTTTTTTTTTTTGTAATGTACGGTAGTAATTCTCTTCTTTTTTTATATACCACGGTGAAAGAAGTTTAGTGACGTATTATAAGTCAGAGATGATTAATTAAATCCATAATAATGCATAGTACTATAAAATAGTAGTAGAAGTGTAGTGACCTATTTCCGCATTGCAGCTTTCTGCAACTTTAATGTTTTTGAATATAATAAGTAAAGGATTAAAGCATAACGAGGCAACAAAAGTAATGAATACGGGAGAAACAAAAGCAAAGAAGCTTATTGGTTAGGTCAGCTTAATTGGAAGATTTAATAACTTAATGACGATGATAATAATTATAATTAAATTAGTTGTTTCTGACTTCTTTAAAACCCCCTCTTACAAACAGAAGCTCCCTTTTTCAGTAGAGGTCCGATTCCCAATTCTCTCCAGAAAGAAAAAAGGGCAAAGCATAGAGAGAGAAAGATAAAGAGAAAGAGAAACTCCATGTTCGAAACAGAGCATACTCTCTTGCCTCTTCTTCTTCTCCCATCGCTTCTGTCTCTTCTCCTCTTCTTGATCCTCTTGAAGAGAAGAAGCCGACCAATATTCAATCTTCCTCCGGGAAAATCCGGTTGGCCATTTCTCGGCGAAACCATCGGTTATCTCAAGCCTTACACCGCCACTACTCTCGGTCACTTCATGCAACAACATATCTCCAAGTAAATATATCTTCAAGACTCAAAAAATTATCTGTTCTTGTCTCAAATTGGACTAATGTTGGGGTTTTGTCTTTATAGGTATGGGAAGATATATAGATCGAATTTGTTCGGAGAACCAACGATTGTATCAGCTGATGCTGGACTCAACAGATTCATATTACAAAACGAAGGAAGACTCTTCGAATGTAGTTATCCTCGAAGCATCGGTGGGATTCTTGGGAAATGGTCGATGCTTGTTCTTGTTGGAGACATGCACAGAGACATGAGAAGTATCTCTCTAAACTTTCTGAGTCACGCTCGTCTCAGAACCATTCTACTTAAAGACGTTGAGAGACACACTTTGTTCGTTCTTGATTCTTGGCAAGAACATTCTGTTTTCTCTGCTCAAGATGAGGCCAAAAAGGTTTTTCTTTTTTCCTTTTCTTGTTTTGCTTGAATTGTTTTTTTTTTTTGTTTAGTCTAATATTTTGTTATTGTGGGTTTAAATTGAGCAGTTTACGTTCAATCTAATGGCGAAGCATATAATGAGTATGGATCCTGGAGAAGAAGAAACAGAGCAGTTGAAGAAAGAATATGTTACTTTCATGAAAGGTGTTGTCTCTCCTCCTCTCAATCTTCCAGGAACTGCTTATCGTAAAGCTCTTCAGGTACATTATTTAAACATTTAAACCTGTGAATTTTGGAAAAAGATTTGAACATTTTTTGCTGTAAAGGCAAATTTCATTGTAGGTACTTTTTTTTTTGAATTAATAATTTTATTAAATTAAATTAAATTATATGATTATGCAGTCACGAGCAACGATATTGAAGTTTATTGAGAGTAAAATGGAAGAGAGGAAATCAGAGATTAAGGAAGAAGACAAAGAAGACATGAAAACAGAAAATGAAGTAGAGATTAGTAAGAGTGATCAAGAGAGGAAACATCGAACAGACGATGATCTTTTGGGATGGGTTTTAAAACATTCGAATCTATCGACGGAGCAAATTCTCGATCTCATTCTTAGTTTGTTATTCGCCGGACATGAGACTTCTTCTGTGGCCATTGCTCTCGCAATCTTCTTCTTACAAGCTTGCCCTAAAGCCGTTCAAGAGCTTAGGGTAAGATGATTAAACAAATCAACCAGCAATTATGACGTTGTATTATAACTTTATTTAATTGTTACTAATTTTGTGTTTCTTGATTTTAATACTTTTTGAAGGAAGAGCATCTTGAGATCGCGAGGGTGAAGAAGGAACTTGGAGAATCAGAATTGAATTGGGATGATTACAAGAAAATGGACTTTACCCAATGTGTATGTTATTTTTATTATTTGTATACTTCTTGTTTTGTTTTACTATGAAAAACTTATTGAGTTTTTCTTGTTTTTTTTCTGTCTAATGAAGGTTATAAACGAGACACTTCGACTGGGAAATGTAGTAAGGTTTTTGCATCGTAAAGCACTCAAAGACGTTCGGTACAAAGGTAAACTTTTACATACAAAAATAAATCAAATCCAAAATGTTAGAATCTTATTGGCTGGAAAGAATTAAATAATTTATTTTCTAAAATGTTGGAAAAAAAGGATACGATATCCCGAGTGGGTGGAAAGTGTTGCCGGTGATCTCAGCCGTACATTTGGATAATTCTCGTTACGACGAACCTAATCTCTTTAATCCTTGGAGATGGCAACAGGTAAATATTTCAATAACTAAATAGTTTAATACTCTAATACAGTAATTAAGAGTATAATATATAGTTTCATCTGTGCATGAATTGATACGTCATACGTGCATATGCATTGACTAACCTATCTATAGATACCAAACGAGAACTACCAATCTGGCAGAACTTTTTATTATTATTATCTTTGAAGTTAGATCTTAACACGTCATCTGATCATTTATCACATGAAGCATATAAATTTAGAAAAATCATGTGAAATTAAAGGACAAAAAATTTGAAAGAGAGAGAGAGAAGAGACGTGTTGGTGTACGTGAAGACAATTAATTAGTAGGATGGTATGTCTTTAATGACGTGGGAACTGCCTAAATTCTTTGTATAATCACATCAAAACTCTAGGGCCCACTGTGTGTGTTTAAATCTCGGCCGTTGATTCGTAGTTGAGTTTTTGGTAGATTAGATTTGACAGACGATAATACCACGGCATTGACGGATCTCACACGCCCGATGACTTGTACGTGTGTTAGATTCTGCCACGTTGACCGGTCCCACTCTTGAATTTAAGTCTACTAATTTAATTTTAGCAAATCGGCGAATTAAAAGAAAAACAAATTGTGGGATACTACTTTAATAAATTAAAATAATAATAATGGGAGTCATGATGTTATAGTGAGTGGGGAAGGTAAGAGGTGGTGAGAGATGATTAATGACCCACGTGGGATGGTGCCAACAAGCACGTGTTCTTCTTCCCTTTTCCAAAAACTTATTTTCGGATATTGGATTTGATTGGTAATAATCCTTTTCCAATGCCAAAGTATATAGTGTACCAATTTGATCACTACTAATCATAAAAATACAAGTTGTAGAACTAAAAACAGTATTTTTATATCTGTTATACTAAATTTAATCATACTACTTATCAAACTTTTTGAACATTATGACATCATTTACCATATTACGGGTCTATAAGTTGTATGAAGCAGTGTGTTGTTTTGATGAGCAGCAAAACAGTGGAGCGTGCGGGTCGTCGTCTACGTCAGGAAGTGGTAGTTTTTCGACGTGGGGGAACAACTTCATGCCGTTTGGCGGAGGACCAAGGCTGTGTGCTGGTTCGGAGTTGGCGAAGCTAGAAATGGCAGTGTTTATTCATCATCTGGTTCTTAATTTCAATTGGGAATTAGCAGAAGATGATCAACCATTTGCGTTCCCTTTCGTTGACTTTCCTAACGGTTTGCCTATTAGGGTTTCTCGTATCATGTAAAAAAAGATAAAACTATTTTTATTCTCATTTTTAAATCATTAATTTTTTTTCTTTTTGCCCGATGAAAAAAAAGTAATTGGATAAATAATATTGTTGGGATTCCATTTCTTTGTTCGGGTTAATGAAGGTTTCAACGATGTGACAATACATTTCGTTCGGAGTATATTACAAATTTACAATACTGGCAAGATGTTCGCTGTGGTTTTTGCTTATAATGATGTTGGATTGATTCTTCGTGTTGTTACCTATCACACTGATCAAACTTGAAACGGTCTTTTGAAATAGCCCAATTGGGTTTTGATTAAACCCATTAAAGGCCCATGGATCTGACCTTTCGTTCACTTATTTGAAACATATGTATCCTCTACGAGGCTTATGAGCTGAATTGTTCTTGTCAAACAAACTTTTAATTTGTCTTTTGTGCCAAATATATAAGTATCTCCGTAGGTGTATATAGTGACTGCATCACTGCAAATATTGATGATATATGAATGAATCATGTTTGGGTAAATGTACTAATGTGCCATAACATTTGTTCTAGGTGTATTCATGTACAATAATACATCGATATATTCAACCGGCTCTAACAAAATATTAAACCGGAGATGATAAAATCAATATGATATCTGTCTTGATCGGACAAGGATCCCATCTATCTCCATTTGAATCATTCTCCACAAGATTTTTGGAAAAGAAAGGCTTCATGGCATATCTGAAAGAGTCTTGAAAGAAACGATGATTTGATCGAGACATTGGAGCCGTAACTATGTATCTTGCTGAAGCAGGAAAGGAAAGCAGAGGAGCACATGGTGACATGCCCGTTGAGATTTCATGGTTTTGTTTCTAAAATAGATGGATAAAGCATTCCGTTAGGGTGAGTTACGTGTTCATCAGATATTTTGCACATTTGATAGTAACACACTAACACTACTAACACTATCGTCCATATGAAACAAGGAAACGCATTGAGGTTTTGTTTCAAAGAGTACAATTTCGACGACTTTAGCGGGTCAATAAAAGGGTACGAAAGTTTTTGTTTGTATGGCGGCCATAACCAAATGGATGGTAATTCGTCACGTTTAAGAGATTTTCAAACTGTAATATAATTGGATGCCTAATAATAATAAAATGAAAATTAGAGGAGAATAAATATATAACACTTGAAAAGAATAACAGAATTCACTAATTTTGTATCAAAATATTTTTCATTTTTTGTTTCCTTTTGAAAGATGCGTTTAAGAATATATGAAGAGGAAACGACCAAAAAAAAAAGAATATATGAAGAGGAATGTTTTGGTTAGCAAAGGGCTGAAATGAAAATCAGTTCCAACAACAAGAAAAAATGAAATTTAGTGTACATATATAGCAAAGGAGGAGACAAAAATGGTTAACATCGGTCAGTGAGGGTTCAAATGAAGATTAGTGTAAAAAAGGAAAAGAGGTGTCAAAAATGGGTAAGCACATAGAGACATTAGTTAGAGCCAAAACACAGCGACACTTTCTTGGCGATGACTCAATGCCACTCTTTGGTCATACATACAAAACCCCACCGATGACTTGGAGATAAAGAAAAGACAAATCAAAACCTTTCACCACTCTTACTCATGTCCCTTTCACACACCACTCTCTCCAAGTCCACTTGCAGATATTTGCAATGGCGAGACACCAAAGTGGGATTGCTATTTTCAAAGAAAAGTCCTTTTCAAAACCTCATCCTCTTCATTTTCCGTTCTATGTATGCCAATGTGGTCACTTCTTGATATCATTACGGAATTAGAACAGTCCATGTCACTTAGTATTAAAAATGTCAAAAGTGAAAAAGAAAAGAAGATTTGGACCAGTGACACTATACCATGTTTAGTAATGCAATGTAGATATTTTACTTATAAGCAAAGTAGTGGAAGTAGGAGACTGTCTTTTTGACGCGGATACAACGATGAAATGCATAAAGAGTGATGTCTCAACACTCAAAAGAGTCTAATGTCGTTCCCATGTGCTTTTTAATTCACTATATTGATTTTTCTCCATATAATTTTGCTTTAAAAAATAATAATTTACAAAGTCAAGTCCATAGGCATGAAAACGTTTTTGGTCCAACAATTTGCTAAATGATTAAAAAGATTTCACACCAAACGGGTTGGATTCAAACAAATATACAAATTCATGTTCATGTATGATAGAAACACTTGCTTTATTAAAGAAAAAAGGATATACTGCAATTCAAATGCAATGTAAATAAAATCTATAAACCTCTTTTTAACTCTTTCCTTGTTTCTTTATTGCGTTGGCCTTTTTAGTATTTTGGGAAATCTGAGGCTTTTATTTAGCAATTTGGCTGCTGCATTTTCTTCGTCAAAGATCGGTAGAACAAATGCTTGTGGGCCCCGCCACCAATCGCTTTTGCTCCATATAGGGCCCTGCAAATGGACCCTACTCCAGAGCCCACAAGCCGTCCTCGTAGACATTAACGTTTAGATAAATACAAATGAAACAAGTTCTATTGTTTGTTTGGTTCCATCAAAGTCATGTTGAAAATTGAAATCCATCGAGTTTTCTTCAAGATGATGTTAACCTAGCTTAACTGTCAATCGGTTTCTCCAACTTAAGTGAAACTAAACCAAGTATTTGTTAACCAATCCGAAATCAAAACCCTTGGTTGATAAGAAATAGCTTTGTAGAAACTAGACCTTTGCGGCTTAAAAGCAAAACCTATTATATACAACTAAAATTTTAACCACCCTTTTTTAATGACTTTTCTTGCATCAAATTCAAATCTTTTACGTGTTCAGCTTCTTCTTTACCTGTTCTTACTTCTTTCATTGTCAGTATTTTAAGCAAAGAAAAAAAGATTAGAAAAGTTCCAGGCGACATGCAGGTGACAAGTAGCAGAAGACAGCTGTCGACGTGTCACATTCAGCATTAAGCAAAGCCATCGATCTGATCCTACGAAGTACGCACCTAAAATTAAACGGTCGAGATGATGTCACACTCTTCGATACGTAACGGCCGATCGATGCGTCATCTTACGTGTGGGTCCTGTCAGAGCAGAGCGGGAGAAGATAAAAATGAGTTTTACTCTGATTTTTGGCTATGTTAATCATCGTGTAAGAGCATAATAAAAGCGTAAGATATGATAAATAGAAGAACAAAATCATGATATCATAAAAAAAAAAGGTTAAAAGAAGTTTATGTAGACATAAAAATTTAAGATCATATAAATCACTGGGTGTATTCTTTCATTTATTACAGAGATAAATCTTAGTTGTAAGTTAAAGTGATAAAACAAAACATATTGCCGTCAAAAGAAAAAAAAAACTTATCGGGAAAAAGAATTAATAAAACGAAACCTTATTACGCCGTCGTTTTGGTTTCAAAAACGGTAATGCTTTGTAGCTAAACCAGTGTGGCCCATTCTAGGGTTATCTTTTAGAAACACAATTCCTAAATCGCCTCCTCTCATCTCATTTCTCTCTCTCTCTCTCTCTCTACTCTGATTCTATTTCATCAGTCACAAACCAGTAACGACTTCGTCGGCGGCAAATTTAAGCCGGAGAATGGCGTATATGTGCACCGACAGTGGGAACTTAATGGCCATAGCTCAACAACTCATCAAACAGAAGCAGCAACAACAGCAAGAGCAACAAGAAGACGAACAACAACAGAGTCTCTGGCCCAATCAATCCTTAGGGTACGCTCTTCCCGGTTCGGGTTTCTCCGACCCGTTTCAATTGATCGGAGATCCGGTTTTCCAATTACCTCACCTTGAGCACCAAAACGCCGGGGTTAGATTTTCCGACGGAGAGTTCGAGTCCGACGAGTGGATTAAGAGTTTGATCAACGGCGGAGATGCATTGCAGACCGATCCCGACTTCGCAATCTACGGCCACGATCCATTCCCGAGTCGTCTCAGTGTTCCGTCGGATCTTAACCGAGTCATTTACTCAGAGAAGGATGACTCAGCGAGTCAGCCGCCGGTTTCCAGCACTCTGTGGGCTTCATCTCCGCCTTCAGCACAACATCCTCCTCCTATGTCTTCCTCTCCGCCGCAGGTAGTGACTAAGGAGCCGGATTTTGACCTAGACCGGCCGATTTTGAAAGCTATCCACGACTGTGCAAGCAAATCCGAAATCGAACCGGAAACGCTGATTCGGATCCGAGAATCTGTATCGGAGCTAGGTGACCCGGCTGAGAGAGTTGGGTTTTACTTTGCGGAAGCTCTGTTTCCCGAATCCACGGCGGCGGAGAAGGAAATGGAGGAATCGTCGTCGGTAGAAGATTTCATCCTTTCTTTTAAAACGTTAAACGACGCTTGTCCATACTCCAAATTCGCTCATTTCACGGCGAATCAAGCGATTCTAGAAGCTACGCATAAATCCAGCAACATTCACATCGTCGATTTTGGGATTTTTCAAGGTATTCAATGGCCTGCTCTATTGCAAGCTCTGGCGACCCGAGCTTCTGGAAAACCCGCCCGAATCCGGATTTCGGGTATTCCCGCTCCGTCTCTCGGCGAATCACCGGGACCGTCTCTGATCGCTACAGGAAACCGCCTCAGAGAGTTCGCGACTTTTCTCGATCTGAATTTCGAGTTTCATCCGATTCTGACTCCGATCCATTTGCTGAACGAGGCGAGTTTCCGGATCGAATCGGACGAGGCTCTCGCCGTGAACTTCATGCTGGATCTCTACAAGCTTCTCGACGAAACGGCGACCACCGTCGACACTGCCCTCCGTCTCGCCAGATCACTAAACCCGAGAATCGTCACTCTCGGTGAGTACGAAGTGAGCTTAAACCGGGTTGAATTCGCCAACCGGGTTAAGAACGCCCTCCGGTTCTATTCCGCGGTTTTCGAATCACTCGAACCGAATTTGGAGCGAGACTCGAAAGAGAGGCTGAGACTGGAGAGAGTGTTGTTCGGTAGGAGAATATTGGATTTGATCAGACCGGATAATAGTAAACCGGGAATCCGGTCAGAGCGAATGGAAGAGAAAGAGCAATGGAGAGTATTGATGGAGAAAGCCGGGTTTGAGCCGGTTAAACCGAGCAATTACGCGGTTAGCCAAGCGGATCTGCTTCTATGGAACTACAATTACAGCACATTGTATTCACTTGTCGAATCGGATCCAGGTTTCATCTCCTTAGCATGGAACAATGTACCACTCCTCACGGTTTCCTCATGGCGTTGTTGACGATCCGGTCCAATCGAATCCAAACCGACCCAAGAACCTGTTTTTGTGTGTCCTAGTAGTGTTGATAAGTTAATAGTCTTTTTGAGTTTAGTCTTTGGAATTGAATTTGTTTAAGGGATAGAGTTGGAAGTTTCTCTGAAGTAGTGAAGTTTTAAAAATGGTGTTTTTAGATTTGGTTGTATAATTACTACTCTCTAAGCTATTTTTCCCATTTTAGATAAACTCTTTAGTGTTTGGAGTGATAGTTGGTCGTTTTTTGTTCATTTGTATCTAACATTTGACTAAATTTCTTTCTTATAAATGTAATTCTAGCTTGATTTTATAATTATTTGCTACTTTATGCAAAAATATATATGAAGCAGGTGTCAGAGTTTCTGACTTTGATTTTGCTCGTGGTGTTTTGTTGCGTTACGTAACATTTAACCTAATGGGGGGAATGAATATTGCCACAAGAGGTAAAATCATATTGAACATGCATAACAAAAATAATTTTGGCTCTAAAACAACATGCATCTTATTCTAACAACAGTAAAATTGAATTGTCTAAGATATATTAGTATATGATAATCTTTTACATTTTACTTCTGTCACTGTTTATGTCGGTATCGGTATTAAAATAGTTGTGCGCACTGACTCATTGACTCTTTCAGTGTCAGTCTTTCACTCTTTACGTGCCATGATGATGTCATCTCTCGATCTTCTTCCCTGGTCTTGTGGTCCCTACATCTCATAAACCTCTTCCTCGCTGTCTCACGTTACACCTTCCCATAGTCGATTCCTATTTCTAACGAAAATGTCATCCGATAAAAAAGCCCACTTTATTTATAACTTTTCTCCTGGCCCAAATTAAATGGGCCTAACATCAAAGCCGATTCTGATTTGAAGTTCACTTTGAGGATGAAATTCGAAGTCATGGTTTCTCAGTTTTTGGTTGCTCAAAGATAAAATGGTCACACACAACTAATGATGTTTTGATATTTTCCTATAAGTTAAGATATGAAAGTGCATTTTGACCAATCATGAGCGTAGGGATAAGTCAAGTGGCATCGTCCCAGTACAACACGTGGCAGAAACATGTTCAATGGAACTTGGAAGCACGTGATTGACAACCCTGGTCCGTTGACTGGCACGTTACAATTATACGTACGAAGATATTAATTAGAACAATTTATGCCAATCATTATTGAGATTTAACCAAGAGAACAAGAAAATAACAGAAGGCAACGGATAGTTCTCACGTGCATCCATGTGAACTTGAACTCACTCAAGATACGAAGATCAATATCTCGCCAACGAATGATATATAATATAAACACTTTTTGCTATCCTCTCCGAAAAATATTCATATCTAATATAGATCAAGTTTAATGGACAAGACATGTAACAGATTAATGCTTGGTTTGTTTATGTTCAAACCAGCATAATGCATGTAGTTAACAAATAAAAATCGAGTTTCATTAGTGGATTTATGAGTTGGACATTAATCATCTCATTACACTTCCTATATATATACACGACCTAAAGGCTTAGATCTCTTTTTCTATCAGCAGTTGAATATCCATCTCTCTTTCTCCATTAGTCTTTCTTTGTAAGCGTCAAAATACAATGGCATGCATAGAAATGCACAAGTCCATAAATACTGCAGCTAGGATCTCTTTCTCTAACGAATTTGTGGAAATCAGATCCGAGAAGAATAATGGTAAGAGCAAGAACGTTAACGTCAACACGAGAAGCTCTCTCTCAAAACCCTCTGCTGATTTCGAGTTCTCCGTCACCGATTACGCCATGATTCCCGCTGATGAGATCTTCCTCAAAGGAAAGATCTTACCTTTCAAGGAGACCAGTCACGTTCATAGGACATTAAGAGAAGAGCTTCTTGTCGAAGAAGAGGGTCCTGTCGATGGAAACATCTTTTCCCTCAGGCCACTATTTTTACCATCTTCGTCTTTTTCAACAAAGGGCACGTGGAAGGAGCTGTTGGGCATTAAGAGGGCCCATGTTAAATCTAAGAAGACTGATAAAATCGACGAAGAAGAGACTTGTTGTTCATCGGGTCAAGATCTCAAAACAATGTTAGGTATGTACAAATTGTTTTTTATATACCTCTACTGGTTCTCAAAAAGTTTTAAATATTTTCATATGAATTCTATGAACTTCTATGTCTGGTGAATTTCTAAAGTGAGGTTGGTCAAAATTTTGCTGATTTTTTCATGGTATTATTACTTGAGCTAATGTATATCTTTTTGGGTTTCAGGAAACGTTGCAACGAGAGAGTGTCAAGTGGCAGATGCATGATGAATGAATTGTAGAGATTTCACTTTGGTTTCTATAAATTAATTTAGATTATTTATGATAATCTAGATTGACTGTATCTTTGGAAGAAGATGGTTCCAACCACTCTTTTCGGCTCACGTACGTGTTTTGTTGCTGTTGTATGTTTTTTTTTCCTAGAAACATTTTGTTTTTTAATGCAAATGAAGATTCGTGTGTACAAACAAAAAATAAGGAGTCGTTTTAGTACTTTGTTATAAGTTGACTTAGCAGCTTCTTCTCTCCGATTTAGTGTATGGCAATTGGCAAGTATTGTTGAATAGCATAATCGCTTATATGTTCCCTCTTCATTCTGAAGTCTACATGAAGAACTAAAGAAACACTCCTTTGGGTGTTTGAGCTAATCTATAAGAATTATAATAAGTAACGTTCCAAACTTATTTTCTAATTTGGAACATCCAATATATACATTTGTAAACACTTTGATGAACTTGTTTTATTGTTTGGAATGTCCACTATAGACATTTGTAAACACTTGTGTCACATGTCGTATTTGCTAGTTGCCAATGTGTAGGCTCTTTGGTTTTAACATTCATACCCCAAAAAACAAAAGAATTTGGGCTCTTTGATTAATCAGTAAAATATGTGTTTCTTCTAGCTCTTCGAAATTTCCTCCTTCGTAAATTGTTGTCCCAGTTCTACCACAATTCAATTTCTCAGAAAACTTGTTTATAACATTTGTGCAAAGAAGATATACTCACATAGTCACACGAGTGGCTAAAAATAATGTAAAGGGCTTCGTTTATATGTGTACTCTATGTTGGGTTAAAAACGAAACATCTTACTATGGCCCGTGAAGTCATGAAAAAAAAACAATAAAGGTAAAAAAATCTTTGGCCTCCTGGATTTTAGTGTACATTCCCACATCTTTGTGTTGTGTCAGATCCTTTAATCGATCAGTACAGGTACGAAAATTACACATTTTAATCATAACTTCTGGATTTTTCCAATGAATCGTTGAATCTTGAGTTGTAGTGTTTTTAAAGTAAAAGAGATAATAATGACAAATCAGGAAAAGAAAAGGAGAGACCAAAATAAAAGGGGGAAAAAGTTATTAATAAAGTCATTCTCGGATTAGGAACTGAAAGAGTGATAATGGCAGACTTTGGTATGAAAAGATTTGTGATTGACCATTTCTCTATGACAGAAAATGACCCGGAAATAAACACAATCATTTCAAAATCCACGTTATCTAAACATAAACAACATAAAGTAACTTAAAATGGTTATTTTAGTTGAAAAAAAATAAGAGAGGGAAAACTGGAAATAGCTTTTTAAAATACTTTTCAAAATAGATTTCGAATTTTAAGAATATTTCAAATCACTAAATCTGGAGTATATATTTTTGTTAAATAGCATGTGACGCACAAGTACGTAGTTGAATCACTAGAGTAGCACGTAACTCCAAGTGACAATAATACTATAGATTTTTACACTGAAAAAGCCTGATGAATGAACAGTAATATTCCTTTACCACGTCAGCCCTCTCAGTTTCGCCTCTTTTTTTTTTCTGCTCTAAATTCATTGTAAAAAACTCAAATAAATGCCAATTTAATACGACTAACCATGTGTTTTTTTTCTGTTTGGAAAGTGGAAAATAACTATTTCGAACAAAAAGCCATTGGTCAGAAAAAAAAAAAAAAAAACTATTTCGAACAAATATCTACGTAACAAAAGAAAAAGAGTCGAAGAATCTTCTGGCCAAAAAGACTGAGAAGAAGGTATAAAAAATTCAAAACACACCAATAATGGTAGCTATTAAGTGGTCTTCTTCATGTTATTTCAACATTTAATTTAATTGCAATTTCTTGAATTATCATTTAATCGTTAAAAACACATTGATCTAAGTTCTAAGAAAAGAAAAACACAATGAGAGGATTACAGGATATTGATAATTTGATAGATATTTACAATTTTTCTCTTTTTGGGTAAGAAAAATGATAGATTACATTTTTATAGAATTATTATTATAGTAGAGAAGAAATACTTGGCTGATGATCAGTGATCGTCTTCGTCTTCAATGATTCAATTTTTCCCACTCGAATCTTCCACTAAGTGGCTCATCTTTCTCGAAATCGAAATTATACCTGCAAATTACCAAATTCGTTAGTTTTGAAAAGAAAAAAATATTTGATTTTGAAGAGGATTTGAAATAAAAACTTACTTCATAGAACATTCCAACATCTTGCTCCGTAGATCTCTCTCAGCCTCCTGGAAAAAATCTTCTAGCTCGTCTTCTTTCACCGTCTCACCGCTCTTCTTCTTCATCTTTAACCGGCGACGAGACTCGACGACATCTTCTGATCCTTGGATCTCCATTTCCATATTCACCGATTCCTCTTGCTCCTCACTGTATGGATCTCTCCTGATTTTTTTAAAATCAAATACACATTAATTGTTTCATATAAACTGACGATTCAAATTCGAAACTCCAGTAATTAAATAAAATTTAATTTTCTGTAACGAACCTTGTGTTGAAGTTATCATAAATCCATGACGTTCCGGTTTGATCATCAGCACCGTTACCTTCCTGAAAATTTGAACAAATTCGAAACTTTTTTAAAAAAAATCGAGATTATTATTTCTGGAGATCAAATAATCAACAATGCTCTCTCACCTCCACATCGACAAATTCGATCCTCCGTTTCGATTTCTCTTCCGATCGATTACTAGAGCAACAAGAGACCGACGCGCGATCCAAATCGTACTCCGAGCTAGGTATCTGACACTGTTCTTCGACCGGAGAATCTCTCCGCCGAACGATCACGACGCTTGTCTCCGACGCTCCAGATGAATTCCTCGCCACAATTCCACCGCGATTCGTCGCCTGTACACACGGAGACAAAACAATCCTAGATTCCACATCTACCTCCTCCTCCAGCTTCCTCCGTTTCACCGGCGTCGTCGTCGTCGTTTCATTTCCTTCCGTCGCATCTCGTTCTCTTCTCCCCGCCGCCATTGATCTCCGACGTCACTCCTAGATCTCTCTCTCTCTAGAAGCTTCGCTGTGCGTGCGTGTGTGTGTTCTCTCTCTAGCTTCTGTGTACAATTTGGTTTGTTCTGTTATACTACTACTACTTGTGATGACGATCGTATAATTATTAACGGCCACGATCTACTCTTGTCGTTTTCCGATTGAAAATAAGCCTCGTGTGAAGATGGAATGGTATTGGTGTCTTGTGGGGACCACTCCAATTCGTAACGGGAAATTTGACGGCGCCGTTATACTAATCAGTGCATCTTCATTGCTTGTATGGTCGACACGTGTCCTTCAATCACTACAGTGGTACAGTGGCATAGAGCACAAACGTTTTCTTCCACAGTTGCACTTAACGGCATCTATAACGTTATAGAATCGTGGCCATTTTTTCTTTTCGAATAACAAAACATAATTCGAATGCAAAGAATTTGGATTATTATTAGGTATGTTCTGTTTATTTTTTAAAAATTTAAACTGATTGTTTTGCTTTTCCAATGGAATCAGCGAACGAAAGGAGAGAGAAGGAGAATAATTCTCGTGGTTTTAAGATAAGATCGGGATTTGTTTATCTTTTGGTGCTAATATACCAAAAGTATTTACCTAAGCATCCTCAGAGAATAATTTCTAGCTCACCTTAACGTAAACTTAATAGGGGCCAACTCGAAAGTTTCAACATATATCTTCCTGTGTCTTCGAGCCAACAAGTGAATATGCTGCCAAGGAGCTCCTATCGGAACCACAATAGGTAGAGATACAATGCTTCTATGACTTTTGTTAAACACGGGAATGTTTCTTGCATGTGGTCGACCATCTTCCAAACTTATATCCTTGGAACCAGTGTCATAAACTAGAGGATGTAGCGTTGGATCTGAGAGCGGCAGGAGCCTAGCCTGAGAATTAGGAAGCACTGCTTTGACGAACTCCAACAAGGATAATAGTGTTTGTAGCTCGAGCTCAAGTACAAATTCACCAATCCTGCATTTGTTTAAACAGAAACTGAGAGTTGAAAACAAATGTATATAATAATACAGCGAGCTGTGTGGATGCTAAGTAGAATTTTACCAATAATAATACCTTATATTTATGTACTCAAAAGAAACTAGTGAAACATCTTTCTTCCGCCACTTTGCTATGCCAATGTCCACTACAGTATCACGGGTATGACTCCTAACTTGCTCAACAGTTTCACTTAAAGATCTTGTTTTGTTGTCCTTAGTACCCCAATCAGGAGCAATGCCTCTGTGGTCATGACTAAATGACAATATGACAGGATACGAAGAATTGTGAAGTGGGTTGTCTATCTGTAATGAAGAGATCTGAAAGGAAAGCTTCTGCTGATCGACACTCTGACTTAGATCTAATACAACATTTGATGCACAAGCATAAACCAATTCCTGCAAGGAATGTTGATGGAGTGTTAGAAGAATATTGGGATGTAATGTGGAAGTGCATTATATTTTCATGGGATGGTTACCTGTGGATGAGAATTAACCAAAGATATACCAATGCTTGGCAAAATAAGCAAGAACTTTTCTGTGTAACGGATCATATTATCAGTTTGAAACTTTTGCTTTCCCTTCTCATGAGATTTAGAGTCAAACGTTTCCTTTATAGCTTTCATGGTGTGATGACCTGAATCTACAACACTGAAAACCTGGAACGGGAAAGTGAATAAGTTGCATCAGCAATATAGAGAAACACAGTTGTGTCCTCAGATAGTTAGCTAAGTAAAAGACATTGGTATCAGAAAAATTAGTACATACCTTTGTAGCTCCTTCAGCACGGATAGATAGCAATAGTGTCCTTTCGGGTTTCTGAAGCAAGTAAATTGAAAAAATAAGTGAATGAAAGTTGTTGGTCTTATGTATTATATGCTTTTTTAATGTCATTAGCCGCCAGAAAAACAAAGCATGCATTCATATAATCCAGAGCTGCATGCGACTGGATATTATAAAATTTGATCCCATCCACCTCATTATAGCAGGCTCAGAAACCCTATCGTGGGCTATAAAGGAAATTTTGCACTCCACCTCATTTTGCAGAAACCTCTACCTTAGGCTAAAAGTGTCGAAGATCTAACTCCCCCAAATTTTATGCGAATATTTTGACTTATGAGACAGTGGCTACTATTTATTATGTTCACTACCAAGGCTCAAGAAAGCATGCTGCCGATAAATTTTATGTAAGGAACATGAACCAATGTGCCTTTAAAGAGCATTACAAGATATAGACGCGTCTTAGCATGTAGGAACCACTCAGCAAAAGCCATGATAACCACATATACATTAATAAGGAAGTTGATTCTGATATATATACCTCAGATGTGGAGCGCAAGTGCACTGGAATAGGTTGTTTTGTGATCTCAAATGCATAAGAGCCTATAACACGATCTCCAGGCACCTACATTCCTCAGTAAAGAAAAAACAACATGAGAAAAGAAAAAGAAGAGAAACTTCAACAGATCACAAAGGGCTGATTTGTTATGAAGCAGAAAATGTAATCACCGTACCTCAATGGTCAAACGATGCGGATAACAGGGTTCATCCCAAGCATAAGGGCAAGACGTGTAAGGATGAACTATAGTATCAAAAGTTTCACATTTTTGTTGATAAACCCTGAGTCTCTACCATCCACAAGAAAAGAAAGAAAAAAAAGCAATATTCAGTAACCAAGGGTTTCAAAATTAATATGATATCATCAATTATAACATTACTGACCTCATTCGAGAAATTATCAATCCTGTAAGGCATATAGCCCATGTCATCATCTGATAATAGAATGAAGTTTGTCCCGACATTTCCCTGGACACTTCCTACAAGTTTTTCATCTCCGCTTGACATATTTGCATTCTGAACTTCCACCCGCACCATGTTGAAAGCTTTATTAACATAGTTCCAAATCTTCAGTTGAGTATCACCTAAATGATCTGGCAAGAAGCTGCCTGACCATTGCCATCCAGGCTCGTTTAAACGGATTGAAATTAGTAACTCCCTGCAAGACTCTCTTTCTGAAAGGGAGACTCATGAAAGTATGTGTATATGTTTAAATTTAAGTAAAGTGGATTCATCTTTCTTCTTCGATTATGGATCAAATTGATGGAGACATGGAAAGGATGCATCATTATTCACGTGGCTTTCTTCTGCGACAGCCTTTACTTATGTAATGAAAACAAACTACACTTTCATGCCTTGCGTACGAAATATATCAAAATTTCCAATAGGTATAACAGATATGATTATCTTTTGATTCTAATGTGGTTAGCTTAACCAGTCGAAAAAGGTTGATGTAATCATATGAGATCAAAATGAAGAAGCAATTCATGTTTTGTGGTGTCACCGCATCTATCACTAAGAGTTTAAGACCCATATATAGCATACACTGATAAGTTTTGCCAATTAAGCCAGCGAAAAAAAAACAAAAGAAACGAAAATGTGCCACTACATAAGTTAGAGTTAGTTGGTAGAAGTGTCTTAAACTATATAATTCCAAAAAGACCAGCGAAATTCGCCATAACAATTACTTTGTTAGTTTTGTTTTGCTTTTCAGATAAAACAAAATTTCACCAATTAATCAAAATAAATTGCTGGTTTGTTTTGTGGAAACCGCCACAATTTAGTGTATGGCCGAAATTTGTTAGTCGATTTTGAGTTACCAATTTTTAAACCCTATATATATAGCGACAAGATACAGTCATACAAAGATATATGTATCTAAATTGTAGTAATAAATATATACACATAATGATAATTGGCATGATGGTGGACACAGAAGAGGACAAGCTACGTTTTATTTAGATGTAAGAAGCTATACAAATAGCTAGGGCCCAAAAGATCAATCACATTTACGGCTAACAAGTAACAACGTATACGACTATACACATACATAAATGCATGTACGCATCCACGTATTTATACACACTGCATTTGTATATTTATGATATACGCATACGGATTGGTTGGATAGTGGCCAATTACGTGTGGTAACATGCATGACACCACCCTAACAGCAACTTCCCTATACACTGGACCGATCTATGAAACTTTTAACTTATTTGAATAAATTAGCTAGTCAAAGCAATTGATTGGATTTATATAAAAACAAGTTATTAGATCGTACTATATTTAGTGTATAGTGACAATTATTATGGCCGAAAGGTTATAATAGAACATAGTTGTAGTATTTATCTCAATACATTTATTCCTGTGTTTTTTTCTCAAAATGTATTTTTTTCCAGAAAAAAAAAAGAAAAAATATCCTGCTATTCCCTGATAAAGTATTGGGCTTTTTGTTGACAAAAAAATGTATTGGGCTTTTTAATATAAGTAAGTTTTAACTTTCGTTTGAAATAAACTGTCATGGTTTCAAGGTTTAGTTTAGCTAACTGGGCCTGCTTCGTGGATTTTCTGGGTCACCACCAATCAAAATCTTTTAGACCATTTATTTTTGTGGCCGAATTCCATTGTAGCCTCAGATTTTTTGGTCAAAACCAAACAAATTTTAATTATTATTTTCCAACATGTATACACAATCCAGTTTTGGGGCATTTATAAAATTTGGATGATTTGGGAAATTTTACCGTTTCACCGTCTGAGGAAAAGACCAGTAAAAATCGGAAAATTACAAAACACATGACGTAGCCCAACAAACTAATATTCCCATAACAGATACATCTACATCCAATCATAAAAACAAATCGTTGACGACAAAAAAAGAGAACAAATAGTTTGTCTGCACCTCATTTCTTCGTGTACCAATTAAAAAAAGAACAAGATATTGGTTAAATCAGAAAAATTGAAAACTATATAAGTCAAGCAAGCTCACAAAACATCCAAACGCGTCGACCAAAGTATGTAACAAAACTCGGACCATCGATGATCGATGAGAGCCACGTTGGATCCCACTCAAAGGTTCAAGTGTTTGAACTTTGAACCATGTGATACCAACCCAAACCCTTTTGGTATCTAAAGAATATTACATAAATAAGGACAGGACAGGACAGGACAATCAAATAAACAAACTTCTTCCCTTCTCTCCTTTTTCATTTTAGAACAAGAAAACTAATACATTTATTAAAAACATTAAGAAATAAACTTATACAACTAAGACTCTAAGAGAGGCTGCTTTTCCCCTTAACAGTGGAGCAAAACAACAGAAACTGTGTCATTAATGGCGGACCTAGAAACTTTTTTTACCGGGGTCAAAAACATAATTATAAAAATACAAATATTAAATAAAAATTCTTCAAAAAAAACAAGATGATAGTTTGTCTCAAGACGAGAGTTTTACAAAGTGACACTCTAAATTTTTAACTAATTGGGCTTTAGTCTATTACTTTGGTTAGTTTATAATAGACTTTTAGGTAAAATTTAAAATTTAATAGACCAAAACTATTGGGCTCTAGTTAATAGGGTGTCAAGACTAGAAATTAACCTGGTTCAATTGATAAATTCATAAGCTCTAAACCAAATTTTTCTTTTTTTAACCTGGGTCACTTGAACCAGTATCCATACACCTAGATCCGCCTTTGGTCATTATTATTTGTAAGTCATTATGACATGATGACACGATGCAAATAATATCGCATGCCTAATTCTCATAATGATAATATATCTATATATTGTTCATTTGTATTTTCATTTGCATGCAGCATGCTTAACCTTAATAATGATATTATTATTTATTTATTTTTGAGAAAGAAAAAAATATGCAGTGAGCATGGATCGAACATGCGGCCCCCGGCAATAAAGACGATGCTCTTCCAACTGAGCTATTACCGCTTCAGTAATAATAATAATATAATATAATATTATTGATATATATTTAATTATATTATTTATATGACTTCATGATATGAATAAGGTATATATATTTTTGATATTTTTCAAGAAACCTTTCTTTCTAAATGAATATATTTGTGCTCAACTTCTATAAATAAAATTTATTTTTTTGGAAAGTTCGTTCATTTGATTTCCGAAGAATTGATCAGAAGCATAACTTTTTGATGAATTCGAAGTAAACACTATCTTTCCTACTAAAGTATAAATATACTGTAACATTAACCATGTATGTGAGCAATAAATATCGACCTATGTAGTCACACTAGCCTCGGGATAAAATAAATAGTGTTGCTCAAATAAGGGGCAACCACCAATGCACCGTCTCAAATTGCGGCAAGTCTTATACTACTAACAAAAATTAAAATTATACACTGATTAAGTATAATATAGATGAGATTTGGAAAGTTAGAAGAAACTACAATGAAGCATAGTTATCCTGATTACTTCATGTGGTTTGCAGTATTACATTAAATCTTGTAAAGACCAAATACTAAAGACTTTTGAATCTGTTTTATAAGCCGACCAGTTATAACGTACGGTGTCGGTAGCTCGATCTTTAATGTGTTTGTATTTGATTTCTTTTGTCATTCATGCATTTGTCCTTGCAGGGACTAATCTATGAAAACTTATTCCTTATTTTTACAAGGAAAATGTGTTCTCTACAAAAACATACTTATAATATTTGAGCGTCTGAGACTTTGATCAGGTAACCTTATTCCTCTTAATTAATTAGCTGTTTAACTTGTAGGTTTTCTTTTTGGAAATAACTAGTATTGCTAAAGTATTGCAACAATCTGTTTTATTGTTATCTTGATCAACACTTTCAAACTAACAACATTTTCTTAGGAAGTATATTGAAAAACTTCAAAAGTCTCTTTCCTTCTCCTCCCGCTTTAGTTATTAAAGTCTTTTGCACACAAGACTCGTTCAATGGATAGAGGAATTAGATCAATTATAATCTAAACGATCGAATAAACAGAAATTAGATAAACAATTAGACGAAAAGGGACACCATAACTTCCACTCAAACAAGGTTAGTAAATAAAGACAATGTAATGTGCTAATCATGATCTGTCCAGAGCAAAGTTTATAAGCATATCTCTTCTCTTATTGTATTTGAAGACGAACAGAGCTATTTAATTTATATTTTGAGTAATCCCGAAGCAAAAATATTATACTAGTAAAAGTATTAAACAAAAGTCAAAAGTGTAACTAACGTTCAGAAACTCCGTCCAGAAGAAGGTCGCGCGTGACACAGCACAGCCAGGCTTTAACACATCTATTGAGTATTGATTGTATTTTCCACTTTAACTTAAATTTATTCATTTTATAGTAAGTTTTAAATTAGTAAACTTTCAAACTCGTTCAAAATTTAGATAGTCAACTTCTAAATTACTACCTCAAGATTAATTAAGGAACTTACGTAATGACAACAAATGAGATGTATATTAACAAGTCAATCACTAAACAAGGAAAATATTAAAAGCACAATAAGTTTCCTGATCCGAAAGCTTTGGTCTCTTGAATCTGTGGAGAGAAAGCGAAATTACATTACGAATGAATTAGTTTTTGAAAACAATTTTTGCTTTCTTTTGTGAGATTAATAAGCGAACTAGGAAAAAAAGACAGTCCCCATGTTTTAATGACAGTGGCTCTACTTTCCACGAGTAAAACATTATATTATACAAAATCTTTGCTCAGACCCAATTGCTAAACTCTTTTGGCTTCTTTCTTCTTCTCATTCTTCTTCTTTCTTCTCAGATTCTCTGTAGTGAAATAGGATTCATGAATCCTTCACGTCTCTGTATCTAAAGCCTCTGCCTTTTCATTTCCTCTGTTTTAGAAGCTTCTAGTAAGCTTCAATGGCGGAGTTCATCTGTTTATTCGGCAAGGTTTGTGTTTTTTTTTTTTGATTAAGCTTCTGGGTTTCTTTGCATGTATGCTTTAACAATGGAATCTACCTGAAAAATCTGTTTTTTTTCTTGGATTTCATAAGATTTAAAGTTTTGGTTTTTTTGTTCTCTGTTATTTCT